AATGCCTCTACCCAGGTAGGCCATTTAGTCTGCCTTTTTTTTTATTTAAGATTGTCTTTGACAGAATTTCTAGGAAGATAACGTGATAAAAGATTTTAGGCAAACATCTGTTAGGGTATTTTAAAGATGCAACTTCTCCAAGAATGCTGATTTCCCCGATTTTTCAGGTTTTTCAATTTCTTCTCCCATTTTTGCCACTAAGTATAATCCCTAATGCACACGATTGCAGAGAACATACCTAGTGTCTTAGTGGTTTAAGCGCTCTCTGCCCCTTGTTATGCTCAAAAATCTTTTTATGGACAGAAAAAAGAGAGAAAAATTTACTTCTAGCATAACTGAAACCTAAGTAGCCTGATCAAAGAATTGTTATTAGTCAAGATCTAATTATTACAGATAAAGAAAGAAGAAGATAATAAATTAATACCACTGGGGGAAAAAAGTAATAGTTACCTGCCAGGGGTATCGACCCCTGTGTTCCTGTTGTTGGGCTCAGCCTCCCAGCACCACTCGGGATCCTGCTGGGGATGGCTCCAGTCTGCCGGGCTTGTTAGGGCGACACGAGCATTCCTGGTTCTCTGGTCAGGAGAATGTGCTTGATGGTTTCTTTTTCCTACTGCAGGATCCACTTGGGCTCACTTGCTGTAGGTTTGCAAATGCACTTTTACCCCTGATTCTTTCTTCCCTTGTCTGCAAGATCCCTGCTCCATCAAAGTCTACTAAACATGTTGTGTTTCAGGGAAGTTAGATGCTTGTTCTCCATTATCCTTAAAACCAGTTTTTTCCAGCTCTGGGGCTACTTCTCTTTATCTGACCGTCTGAGAGCTGTTTCTGGCCTAGGAACTCCTGTGCTCTGCCTCTTACCACCCCACACCTGCATTCAGCCCTGCATCCTGTATCCCGCATCTCAAGACCTCTGCTTTACTCCCAGACCTGTTCTTCTGCACTCCGTGCCATCATGTATAGCAGAAAGATCTCATCCTGTGCAGAAGACCTGCTTGGTGCTGCTGTCTGTATAAATTCATGGTTATTATCCACAGCCTAATAGCACATGTTATTAGAAAATAAATAAAAAATGCTATTGCAGGCAAACCAGGTGAAAACAAAGCCCCGAGCAGGTCAACGAAAGTTCAAAGGAAGCAACCAGACAAGCCCCCAACCTGAGGCCTTGCAAACTCGGTACGTTCCCCATGGCTTGGTACTAGCAATGCTGTGCTGCTGCTCTGCAGGGCTAAGTACCACGTATCTGGATGTCATCTTAGACATTTACCTCACCCAGTCAGGTAATTTTGTGTCCCTGCTCCCTGCTGCAGGGGACACAGAAGGGAAAGTAAAGCTCAGCCCTTACCATGCAGGGGTGGAGAACCTTGCCTTGGTTTTGTTTTTTAGATGAAGACACTGATTATTTCAGACACACTTCAGCTCTAAAAGCAGCGATGGTTGCTGAGCAACAGATACTCCCACATAGCAAACCCTGAAAGACAAGGGAACAGAAGTAGCCAAGGGCAATGTAAATCGTGTTACATTCCTGCAGAGCAAGGCTGTGGCTTTAGGTCAAGCTCTGAGACACATGGAAGAGACTCAGCATTCCAAGTCCCTGTCCAGCCTCAGAACCGCTCCAGTCAGTAGCAAACAGACACTTCTCCATTAAATACAGTCCCTGGGTTTGTTTTATCATCTGGCTGGTTTTCGGTTTGGTTTTTCTGGGGGCCGGGGTGTGGGCGGGGGGAGGGTTGGGGTTTTCTTCCGAATTCTGACCTAGGATGTATGTATGAACTGCTAATTTTGCTAATTATTTTTGTATTTTTGCTATCTTCCACACCTGTTTTCAGGATGACTCTCAGGTGATTGGTTTACTGATTGGTTAATAGTTTTGATCCAGGACATGCCATTGCTGTTTCTTGATGAGAATGTGTTTGTTAGCTGGAAGGCTGTGTGACACAGCGGAAATGTACGCTTGCATCTGACATTTGTCTCCGTGTCATGCGTGTGCATAGCTGTAATTTTAATCTGTACATTTAAGAGAGGATTTGTGTTAGTATTTCTTTTAAATTATTGTTACTGATTTTGGAGGAGCATCAAGTTTAGCGCTGGGGTGAGAGGTGTCTTCCTGTATTCCCCTGTATTTAACAGGAATGTCTGTGTATACATCAAGACGATGCTTTAAGTGCCTTTTCCTATATGCGTTGTGTTTTACCAGTCAGGGGTGTAGGAGATGCTGCATGCGGGCTGTTCCATCTGCTTCAGCCGCCGGTCTCTCACTGTGGCAGCACCTCATCCTCCAGAGGAATACCTAAATAAGGAGAAAGCAGATAGGAAGGAGACCGATCCTTCCAAAGAGGATCCTTCTTCTTACTCCAGTTAGAAGTCAGGCAGGGCTGAAGGATGAAGTTTATACCTCTTTTATTCATATAAAAATAATTTACAGATTTACCACCAGGTATCATGGGAACACTGAAGTTTTCACTCACACTAAATCATTTACTTTGATGACCTTATGGTATAACGTATTCCTCCAATAACTGATGTCTTGAGTAAAAGATTTGCTGTGTTTTGTTTTTCTAATTTTTGATTACTTTTATTTCTAGTGGGTTCTAATGAAATCAAATGGAAGCCAGAAATCATCTGCACCAACCTGTTCTCAGAGTATCCTGGATTAGAGGATTTAGTGAAAAAACAAATCCATTCACTTAACAAGGGGGTACTGATATTTTCAAGGAGCTGGGCTGTTGACATTGGATTGCCAAACAAGCAGGATGTTGTATGTGATGTTCTCTTAGTAGCTGAAAATGCATATCCAGTATTGTATACTGTAGTCAAGGATGCCTCTTCTGCTGAGTCTGAAAACTCGAGAGAAACTGCTTATGCATTAAAGCAGAAACTGGTGAATGTTGGAGGATGTGCTTCAACACTGTGTGTGATTCCCCAGATACTGCACCTGAATGGCACAAAGAACCAGATGGAAGTTGCAGAGGGTGACTTTCCCCAGCGAGAAAACCAAGAAAACCCACATGGTTACTCCAGCTTGTACCCAGAGAATTACATCCTCACCTCCAGGGACATCCCCGTGTGCGCTTGTGATTGTCGTGCTGCACTTTGAGTCCTGTTTAAGTGACCATCTTGGCTGTGAGATTTTCAACCTTCTTACTCTCAGACAGTATGAGCTGCTCTCCAAGAACCTGCACAAAGCCAAGGAGCAGTTTGTCCTTGGTCTTCCTGGAACAGGGAAAACAATCGTGGCTTTGAAGATCATTGAGAGAATAAGAAACATTTTTCACTGTTCTGCCAAAGAGGTACTCTGCATTCGTGAAAATCAACCCTTGAAGAAAGGTTGTGGGGTAAGCAGTAATGTGCATTTCCCCTTTTTTCTTTCATTTCATCCTCTGTACAAAGAGCACAAGGCCTGCTGATCTTACATCTGTTTGCCAAATATATAACGTTGGCTGACACAAATGCACAGTAGCAATCTCACGAAAGGTGTTAGTATTGAAAAGGTCCCTGAGCTGAGCTCTGGCCCAGATCCAGCGTCCACTGTCTGCAGTGAGAATCCCATGTTTGGGGATTGCGGGATTGTGTTAGACCTTCAGAAGCCGGTGGCCGCAGTTTAACAGTCTATTCCAGCTGATGCCGACACAAAAAATACTCACCTGCCTTTCTGTTGCCACCTCAGCACTGCCTGTGCTGGGCCTGATGCAAGCTTTTGTGCAGCTGCTCTAGACACAGCAGCGCCCAAGCCGCAGGTCCGCAGGCAGATGGCCTGGCAGAAGGAACCCGTCCTTCCCGCGGGAGCGCAGGCACCACAGGGAAGGGAGGGCAGGGCAGAGGGACACCCCTGGGGAGCCTTGCCATGGGGTCTCCATGTAGGAAGGGTGGGCTTGAGTCTTCTCCTGGGGCAGAGCCAGTCAATGGGGCTGTGTAGCAACACCTATGCACAGCCAAGCCCTTGGAATAAATGTTTCCACTGGGAAAATGATGCTGCAGCTGAGAGCGGAAGTTTTGCACTTTTAGACAGTAAGCAGCAACAGCCCTCCAAGGAGGAACCCACTGAGAAGCGGAGGCAGTCAGTACAGATTTTTCTGGTCACGTCTTCTTTTTATTTACCAGATGGGTTTTTTAGGTTTTGGTTTTGGTTTTTTTTTGTTTCTCTTTTTTTTTTTTTTTTTTTAGAAATGAGATCTGCCAGTGTGGGACACGTTTCTCCTTCTTAAATGGGAACTTCCCCGAAGTGAAACGCATTGTGGTTGATGAAGCTCAGAATTTTCGTCCTGAAAAAGACTGGCACCAATGTGCCCGGGAGCTAGTCGAGAAGAAAAGTGGCATTTTCTGGATCTTCCTGGATTTCTTCCAGTCCACTCACCCATATGGTTGTGGTCTTAAGTTTTCTGAACTATATCCTCAGGAATGGTTGACCAAAGTGGTCTGTAATGCCAAGCAAATCTACACTGTCATGCTTGAGCTAATGGAGGAAATCCTCCAAAACTGTAACACAGAGATGCCCTGTGAAGTGCTGAAAGAGTTGTTTAAACGGGCTGAATGTGGCCATTCTTTGCCAGGTGACTATAAAATTTAAAAAAACATGGAAACATCTGAAATGGTGAAGTACGTGGTCAGGCAGTGCAACAGCTATATCCAGCAAGGCTATCCCGTCAGAGATTGCAATCCTGTGCAGCACAGAGGACACAGCCCAGGCCTTCCATGAGATACTGGAACCCGAGCTGAAAAGACAAATAAGAAAGTGCAGGGTGAGGTTGGTCCTGGGGCACGTGGAGGATGTTTCAGTAGACATCGTTGTTCTTGACAGAATCCGACGCTTCTCAGGCCTAGAAAGGAGGATCGCGTTTGGCATCCACCCTGTCCCTGCACAAGAGGAGACGGCTCGCAGACTTCTGCTCTGCACAGCATCCAGAGCCAACACCAAACTCCATGTGCTGTATCACAAAGACGTTCTTAGGAGACTTCTTTAGATGACGGTGTACTCTTACCCAGGACACTAGAATGCTTCGCTCATTTTTTAGTTCAGTGGAATAGAGCAGCCTGAAAAATTATTTTTAATGCCCTTTCTGTAGTCTGTGCAAAAAAAAAGTTATGCAGTTTCATATAAAAATTTTGTCATATGTAGGCCTGTAGCTTATTATAGAATTGAAGTGAATTAAAGGACATTGCTACCCGGAGAGAACAAATTGCTGAAAATGGCAATTGCAGAAGGAAGTCAACAATTGCAAACTACTTGGATAAATCATAGGCCAGTTTGGAGACTTGTACTTTCAATTCCTGTGCTCTTTAAGCTGAATGCATATTCTGAGTTGTTTCAGCACTACTGGGTGGAAACGCAACAGGGGCCATC